AAAATAAAAACTCACCAAAAAGAAAGTGTTTCTGAACAAAAGAGATTTTCATTTTTTTTAGTGCTCATTATCCTTCTGCATCTTACTACAAGGTACTGTTAACTTTGTTCTATATGTTTCATGTTTTTGTAAGTATTATAAAGGCCATAAGAAGGGATGAGGCCCCACACCCCCATTTCCAAATCACAACTACAAGTCTTATCATCCACACTCCATCGAAGGGAAGGACCACCGTCTCCTAGTCAATTACAAACACTCATCAATGCTCCCTTGCGTGCGATAAGGACCATTTCGGCATCTCTTCATCTCACCCTCTGATGCAATGAGCCATAAATGATGACTGCCAAGAAAATTTGTCGGTATTTGCCACAGAAAGCAACAAGACTATATAGTTAATGAGCCTAGCTAGTATATACAGTTACTGGGATCGATGGGTAAGGTGATCTGCAACCAAGAAACATAAAGTTATCGTAAAGAGATATTGTGGACGTAAGGCAACAGGATGATGACATGTGTTACCATTGAGCTAGCAGCACAAAACAATTTTTTCCTCAAACATAATTACTCAGCATTCAAAAAACCTGTAGGCAACTACACTATTTACTAATTTAATTTAAGACATCGAGGAATGTGGGTCCAATTCACCATCCTCAGTTAATACAGTTTCTTTAATCTCTTGTAACATCTTTAGTACTTGCCACATTGTCGGCCTCTGTTCGGGAGAGTTCAAACAAGCAGCAACAGCCACCTCAACCAACATTCCCAGACTTTCCATTCCCCTTTCGTTCTCTTCCCTACTGGACCTCACCCAATTCGCCACCTCTTCTGGTGTCGAAAATGGGTGCTCTAATGGAGGTTTTCCTGTTAAAAGCTCCAGCAACAGAATTCCAAATGCATAAACATCGGATTTAGACGTTACTTGGCGGTCGGAAATTCGGGCCAATTCCGGGGCTTTATATGCGGTGGTGTTGGTATCGTCTTCGTGTGGGTAAGGGGTAAGAGCCGTAAGGCAGTAGTCAGCAATGCAGGCTTCGAAGTCGGGACCGAGGAGGACGTTGGAGGACTTGAGATTGCCGTGGACGAGCCTCCATGCTTGGTGGATGTAAGCCAGGCCCTGTGCTACGTCCTCTGCTATCTTCAAGCATGAGGTCCAGTGGAGTGGCCTTGCCCTTGTGGATTTTGAACCTGCACGTGCAGTAAACAACTTTAAAATGGTTTTTTTAATAAGGTAAAACAACATTAATGATATAAATAATTCAATGATTATCTTCTGTTGTTGTCGAAAGGAAAAAATCTTAAATTTGAGTCGTATAACATAGTTAGGACGAAATTAAAAATAAAAAATAATTGCTTCTCATTGTGTAATCAAAATAACAAATAAATAAATAAATAAAACAACATATAATCTAATAATAAACTTATTTCTACTCATAATTACAAATTCAAAGTTTAACTCCTCTCTACCCTCTATGCACTTAAAAAAGCTAGCATCTTCATAAAAATAATAAAAATAAAATAATAACAAAAAATAGATTCTCTATTTTATAATTCAAATTATATTATACTATAAAATCAAAACCTTTAAATTCAGAAAAAAAAAAGTCCAATATCAAAGAACCATCCCCAATTCAAGAGTCACTATCTTCCAGTACAATATAGTTAGGATTGCAAATCAGTTTTTAAAACAATGTTATAATCCAAACAAAAACCAATAAATTACATGGGCCCCAGGCCTGTATTTTAACAGTGTCGAATGTGACAGTAAGTGGAGGCCCACGACGAATCTGGGCCAACGAATTTATTAACGCGATTTCAAATGGGCGTGAAGAAGTACGATCACGACTAAAAGGTGTGTCCTGATCTACAGCAAGATTCTGCGGTGATGATGACAAAATCAAACGGCACACAAGAAAAAGGCTACAGTTATCACAAAGCTAAAATTAAAATCCCAAAACTGCTTGGTTTCACGCGCCCAACATAAGGTGAGTCTTGGAAGCACAGCGTGGTCGAAATGAGAAAAAATGTTTTACTCAAACTAAATCGTCTCTTTCTGTACTTTCCAATGTTATATTATAAATTTATAATAAAT